AGAAAGCTCACCAAATATATTAAGAAAGCTCACCAAACTTAACTACAAAGCTCACCAAAAATATTGAGAAAGCTCACCACATATATTTAGAAAGCTCACCAAACATTACTAGAAAGCTCACCGAACATAACTAGAAAGATCACCAAACATTACTAGAAAGCTCACCACATATATTGAGAAAGCTCACCAAACATGACTAGAAAGCTCACCAAACATAACTAGAAAGCTCACCAAACATTACTACAAAGCTCACCACATATATTGAGAAAGCTCACCAAATATATTAAGAAAGCTCACCAAACATAACTAGAAAGCTCACCAAACATTACTAGAAAGCCTACCAAACTTAACTACAAAGCTCACCAAATATATTGAGAAAGCTCATCAATTTTTTATACCCATGTATTGGGTTATTAACAAGAAGGCAATTTTGTGGCGCATTTGCAGAAGGAAATGGATGAGAAGTGCCCGATGTCAATTCTTTTTACTCTTAAATTTTTATCACAATCTAATACTCCCTTCATCCCGGTATATTCGTCCACTTTTGACTTTTGGAACTGTTTATCTAAGCACTTTGACTCATCAAATTCTCTCAATGTGTAAGCCTAAATATAGTCATGTATGATCTTGTTTGATTTGTCTTAACATATAGATTATTAATATATAATTTCTATAATTTTTTAATATACAAATTACAAGATAAAATGGATTAAAGAAGTGTATTGGATGGTGTGTAAAAATGAAAGTGGACAAATACTCTGGGACGGAGGTAGTATATTTTTTTCGTAATTTATTCTCAAAGTTTAAAATGTTTGCTCCAAAAGTCAAAATGGGAAAAAATATAGTCATCGTTTAAAAGCATTGACGAGAAAAAAGATGGCCCCGAATTGGACCTAGTGTTGTATGAATTTTGCAATGTTAGAATAAGTGTCCTTCCCTAGTAATATTTGATCACCTTATAGAAGTAATATTTTAACAGCATGGTTACCAACTTTGAAAAGAACACTCTCAATTTAAAGAAGTAGAACAGAAATCCAAATCAAAAGAAGCAAATTGACATGGAGTTTATAAATATTAGTCATAGAACATAGAAGAAAGTGCTAATATGATACACATCAAGTATCATTTCCATTTGAACCAAAAAAAAACTCTGGCTTAAAGTCTTAAAATTTCTAAAACTACTCTTTCAACCAAAAAATAAAACCTCTCAAAGCATTCAACTCCCCATTTTTTTCCATAGTCCACAATAAAAAAGACACTAAGACGGAACAGTAGGCATATACAAAGCTCAAATTCCAACTTCGGCTTCTGCTAACCTCTAAACAGTAGCTGCTAGACCTCCCTATTATTGTTTTGCTTCCAAGTTAACAGGTGATAGTCACTGTAAAAAGAGCAAAGCAAATCAGCCTCCCACATGACCAAAGCAACAACATTAATAATCCAAATAATAAGCAACATAAGTGTACAAAAACTATTCAGAAGAAGTGCCGGGCTGATTCTAGAACCAGATGAAGAAGATGGAGATGGTTTTGGTGTTTTAGATTGCCACATCGGAAAATTACAGACGATGAACATGCCCTTCATGAGCTTAACTAACTGAGAAACTCCTACCCAATCATAAATTTACAACCAAAGAACCAAACTCAACTGAAAGCTGAGCTTTAGGACCTCTGAGTCAGCAAGATCAATAAGACTCTGTTATCATTTCAAAGACTCAGGATTGCTATGAATTGGGCTGGACTCAAATTGATGAAGAAGATGCATCTTAGAAACATGGGAATCCAAAGAATTATCACTGTGCTAAACTATTTTTGGATCAAATTGAGTCGTGTTTGTTCAATAACCCACTAACCCAATCTTTTTTTACAAAGAAATTGACAGTAACATCAAAGAAAGAAAGAAATCTTGACACCCAGATATGAATTCTTCAGAACACAGAATTAAACAAAAAAAGATTAATAAGAAGAAGAAGGATTTGACAGGATTGCAGTTTACCGGAGCTCACTGCACGGCTTGAACTTGGCTGTTTGTAATGGTGATTCAAGAAAACCTAGCAGTCCAATTGTAAAGATTCTGAGCACTTGGTTACTCTTCATCACTGCTGCTTTTGCTATAAAAGAAGGATTATTAAAATCTAAATGTAAGTCAAATGAAACAACTAAAATGAAACATTTAAAAGTAACCTGTTGTTTTTCAATGGACAATTACGACTGTCATGTGTAGTCATTTTGTTGCATGAACGACAACGTCGAGGGTGCTTTTGTTTTTCTTGACCCTTCTCCACACCACTCTTAATCCTCTTTTTCCTTCCCTTCGTGACTCCAATCGTAGGAGGATGGATTTCAACTCTATCAGGCACTTTGCATCCAAAATAAGTTTCCAAGTCTTTCCTTTTATCATTTCCAACTGTTGGCCCCATATCAGTGAGTTGATGCTCAAGGAAAGTCGTACTCTCTAAAATCACTTTCAATTTCTCATAATCTCGCCCTGCCAGAAGCATGCAGTTGTAAAACTTCCACCAGATATTAGATAAAGTTTGATTCTCTAGCTTCGTTGTGTTAAATGTTTCATCCAAATGCACCGTGCCTTCATTAAAAGCTCTTTTCTTTGCATATTTTGTCCATCTATCGAAAATATAAACCTCTGGCAGCTCTCTAAACCCTTGCCCATTCAAAACTGATAGAATATGCCTACAAGGGATTCCTTGTGACACAAAAAAATGGCAGGAGCATGTGGCAGCTTTTTCAGTCAGATCACTATAGCGGACATTGTACAGCTTCCCTTTTGCACCACGATTATCTCTTACGGTTGTCATTGTTTGTCCGTTAACAGATTCCATCCCTTGGATACCACAGTAGTATAAGCCATTCCAAAATTCTTCTTGAAACAAGTAAAAATTGGTGTGTGTGTGTAAACCTCCCGTGCATGGCGCTCCAAGGGTAATTCTGTTCTTAGAACGGGATTTGAAGTTAATGATGCATTCTGTTGTTTGTACTCATTGTCACGCTGAGTATCAATGGCATGCTGAAACCGCACCCAAAATTCTATCAAACTTATTAGTTGGTTTGTCAAACAACTGAACGTTTGGTTTTGGCTTTCTGAACCCGACGTTGTTCTTACAGCAGCACCTAAGTATGTGGCATCAAAATATACCTGGGGCCATTGCTCCTTTATTGAAAAGATATGCCTGAACCAATCATTAAACAACAAATCAAAATCAGTCATTATGCGTAGCCATTCCTCTTCAAATTCTTCAGGACTCTCTGAGGACCAAACACATGATTTCAAACGCGTATGGAAGTCTTCAGATGAATTCACAGTGAGGCCCGCATATTCTGGAACTTTTTTTAGTATATGCCAGATGCAAAACCTATGTATTGATTTCTTAAACACTTCAGAAAGGGCTAACCTAATAGAATGGTCCTGATCAATAATTATACTTATTGGTTGCTTCCCTCCCATTGACTCTAAGAATTTTGAAAAAAGCCAAATAAAGGAGTCTCCTTTCTGATTACAAACTAATGCCGCCCCAAAACAAATTAGCTTACGGTGGTTATCCACACCAGTAAATGGGAAGAAAGTAATGTTGTATTTAGGTGCCCTAGCGGCAATCAAATACCTATGTAACTGTACACTTTATCATGAATGAAAGGCCTTGAAGTATGTTTTATATCTCGTGTAACATAACATAGCTTCAGTCCATAGACGATAGCGCTTCAGTAACATAGATGAGGACTATGATGTTCTGATTATGAGACTGTTACTTCTTGATGAAGGCTATGTCTAGAATATCCCTAGTCGCACTTTATGATAATACGGACGTCATAACGTATCAAGACTAGTACGTACGAGATGAGATAGTTGCGTCTCATAGACTATAGGTATTGTGATATCTTAATCTGTACGTAGGTGCATATTATATTGATAATATGTGACTGGATTGACCCATCTTGAGAATACTGCATGGATCTACAGTAATGTGTTTATCAGTATTCTCAAATCGACCTTG